AAGGGGAAATGCAAATCCTGGGAATCACCCCAGAACTCCGAAATCTGAAACAGGGCTAGGGTGTGCAGGGATGTGACTCAGTGGTAAAGTGCTTTGCCAACGTGGTGAGTCCCCGGGCTCAAGCCCCAGCAACAGGAGCAAAAAAAAGAAGAAGGAAAAGGAGGAAAAATTAAAAAATCTACGGACAGGTCAAAATCTGTGCCTTACAAGCCCTGGAGATGGCTGTGATGTAAATTAGGGCTTAAAGACCACTACTGTTTGGCAGGGTCTCTCAACCTCCAAACTGAACATTTTTGCCTGAGGTAAAATACAGGTAAAATTGAATTTCAGGTAATTAGGAAATCCATTATCTCATCTTATGATCCTATCAGGACCTGTATTTTTACGTATTACAAATATCATAATTGTAGGAAGTTGAGCATACCTGGCTTCTACCTAGTAAATCCCAGTAACACAACTCTCCCACCTCGCCAGTTACTGTCAATGGATGAGGTCCAAGGAAGGCTCCCCAAAGGGAATGATGCTCTCAACTCAGGAGGAGGTTTGTCCAGGGCTCTGCCTCCCCTCGGGGCTCCTGGGTGCTGAGCACTTGGCTGAAGCCCTGGCTGCGTGGACACGGCTGCTCCCAGGAAGTGTCCCTCTCCGGCTGAGTGCGGCAGAGGCTGTAGGTGACCAGTTCTCCAACTGGCCTGCCAACCAGAGAGAGTGTTGGCGGCCTCCTTGCTTCGGCCTGGCCTTCCTCCTCTGGACACGATGCCTTCCCTGGCCCAGCGTCTGATGGCAGGCTTTGAGGTGAGCAGCTAAGCAAGGGCCAGCAGAGAAGGGTGGCATAAGGATAGGGTGGGTGAGGCCCTGTCTCCTAGGACCCAGGAGGCCCCTTCCTGCCACTTCATCATTGCCCAAGGGAGAGGTGGCTACGGGCCTGGGGTGGCCCTGGGGAGCTGTTCATGTGGGTGTGTGTGCATGTGTGTGTGCGTGTGCAGGCGCTGGCTCTGGGCTGTGGGAGACCAAAGTGAGCCTAAGAAACGCCATCTTGGCCTGTGAATAAACTCCCCTCATACCCCTCCCCTTACAGAGTGCTGGAACTCCCCACTGGACAGCTGCTCGCTCGCTGTGCTCCTGTAGACGCGCCCTATCGCTCCCCGGGAACAGATGGTGTCTGGTGCCTCCCTGTAACCGCTGAACCCTGCAGCCGCAGAATATCCTGTCTTGACAAGATAGCTGGGTTGAAAAAGAGCTGGGTTGTGAAAGATATTTTGCAGCTGGCTGAAGGACATAGTGGCCTCTCCCTGAACTTCTTTGAGTTACCTATGAAAGCCGTGCTGTGCCCTGCTTCTGGGCTTCACTTCTCCTAGAGGGTGGGGTCCACGCACGTGAATAAACTCCTCTTAGCTTTAACTCTGTCTTTGCCCCAGTGTTTGGTGATCTGCTTGGCAGAACAGGCTGCCCACAGCCCGGGAAGGGCATGGGTAACAGCTGCCACCCCCGGGTGAGCACCAGGCCTGTGCCTGACTCTGCCCTCGGACAGGCCTCCCGGGCCAGGGTCTAGGACATGATGGCGACCCTTGGAGACCAGGTGCCCAAACTGCAACCTGTGCCAACCCCGCCATGTGCGCTGTTTTCCGCTGCTTGGCTGCTGGGCCGACGCTAGGGCGCCTTGGCCCCTGAGCCCACGGAGAGGGCTGTGAGCCCGCCTGGTGTCCAGGGGGAGAAAGGAGGGCTGCTTGGCTCCGGGCCCCGGGAGGGGAGGAGTGGGAAGTCAGAGCCAGAAGAGCCACAGCGAGGTCAGGTCGGCGCCCCAGGCTCTGGGCACGCAGAGGCGGCTCCCAGAGAGGCCGAAGTTTGCCAGCAACTCTACCGTGCTGGGCTTTTAAGACAAAGCCAGTGCCCTCAGGTCTGTTGCCCACCACTGTTTTACTGAGAATCCCACGGGTGGTCGGGGAGTGGGGCAGACACAGCCCCGAGCCTGTGCAGACCGCGTCCTGCCCGCCCCCGCCACCCAGCTTCTCAGCTCTGGCAGACTGCAGTTACTTTGCCTTCCCTCCTCCTTCACGGCCTCTCTCCCTTTCCTTCTCTCAACACCTGGACAGAGGTGGCTGTGATGCTGGCCTGGGGGCACACTCTCAGGTGCAGATGTTCTGGAATTGTTACAGAGGAACGAGTGGGACGCTGTGGGGCTGCCACACAGATCGAGATGCACCGGATGGCTGCCACCCGGGCCCTTGCTGCAGGGCCTGCGGGGATGTGTCCTGGCCCCACCGCCTGTCAGCAGGCGTCAGTGGAGTAACAGGCACAGCGCCCGTGCTGTCTGTGGTTCACACTGTGCCAGGTGCCTGGAGGCGGCACAGAGCCCTGAGTGTGCGGGAAGGTGGCGCTGGCTGCAGATCCCAGGGTGCGGTTGGTCTGTTACTGTGCGCGGTGGGGGCACTGCTGGGGATCATGGCGAGGACTCGGGGCCTCAAGCGACACCCCAGTGTCTGGCACAGCCCTGAGCACCTGTGAGCTCAGGACACTGGGTGGGGAACAGGGGCCCAGGCTGCACCGCCCCAAGTGCGTGCCCAGGAAGGCCCAGCTCTGCCCCAGAACAGGGCGCCCCGCAGAGAGGGCAGGAAGGCCAAGACTCACCCCATCAAACCCCAGGCTGGGGAGTCTCCTTTCCGAGCTCCCCAAGCAATGGAAGGCAGAGGAGAAAGGTTCAGGCAGGGAGTGGCGGGGCCTGCAGGAGGCGAAGAGGGGCCGCCCATGGGGGCCAGGCCCAAGCCCCTCAGCTCTGCTCCCCACCCGCTCGCTCGGCCTCCTGCAGCAGCCCGCACCCTGGGCCCATTGACGAGCCCTAGGAAGAGGGCCGAGGCCTGGAAAGGCATGGCTCAGGGTACAGCTCATGCTCCGGAGAGGAAGAGGGGAGAGAGAGGGAGCCAAAAGAGGTGCATATGAAACCATCGCTCCCCCAGCAGCCCAGGCAAAGAAGGCAGGAGAGGACAGCACCCCGGGCCAGTGTGGGGAGCCGGGAAGGTGAACCGGGCAGGACTCGGCTGGGCGGGCTCGGGCTACCTCTGCCGGAGAAGGGGCCAGCGAGGGGCCTCAGCCCAGGCAGGCAGGGTGGGCAGCCTGGCAGGCAGGTGCAGAGGAGCACCAGGCTGTGCCACTGTCTCCCGGGTGCAGGCGGGGTCCACGCAGGTCCGCAGAGAGCTGACTCAGCTCACCCCGCACCCGCAGCTGCAGGCTCCCGACTTCCACCCGGACGTGAAGAGCTCTGCCCCACGGACAGCGAGCCAGAGAGGCGGTTACTGTGGGGTCTGGCTTGACAGGGTCTTGAGGGGCCCTCAGAAGGAGACCCAGGGTGTGTGGTCCTCTGTCAGGCCTGTCTGGGGGCGAGGTCAGTGCCAGCCCTGTGTGAGTCCGAGCTCAGAGCTGTCTGTGGACCTCAGCACTGCTGGCTGAGGAGCAGCTCCATGGCTGAGAAGCGCAGCCTCTATTTACAGGCTCATCGTGTCTTTAGGACCCTCTGGAATTGTTTTGAGTGCGTTTCCTGGAACAGAATAAAAGCACCGTGACTTTGGGTAATTCTGTGTCTAAAGCTGCAGTTTAAAAAAAAACGCAATTTAAATTTTTTTCTTTTTCCTTTTCTCCTTCTTAGCTTGCTTTGTTTCTTCAACCCTCCCTCCGTAGTCCTCCTTTGGGGAAGTCAAGCCCCAGCTGTCCCCACTTCCCTCAGACAGACCTCAGAGCCCAGCTCCTGGGGACCCGAGAACCAGGCCAAGATTTTGTGAGGACAGAGCCAGGCCAGGGCTCCGGCCTCGCTCCTCCCCAGCCTTCCTGTCTCATCCCCCTGCCCTGTTTCCCAGACCAGCAATGGAGATGTGAGCTTGACTGGAAAATGTGCAGAGAGTTTTTACATTTTTTTAAAAAAGTTTACAGCGAGAAATACTTTGCTATGACTCCCTCTCGGAATCCTCCCCTACTTGAGACACACTTATCCCATCCCCCTCTTACCACTTTCTGAAGCAGCTCTGCAGTCCTTTCTTCTGATTGCCTTCATAGGATGTGATAAACAATGTGGTGGATGCTGCTGCTGAGCTCCATCCATTGGAAAGGCGGCTCGTAGAAACACGATGCTGGGTCCTCATCCACCTTATTTTCCGGATCTGGCACTGTGCAACTTCCGGCTCTTCCCCAAAGTCAAAATGACCACGAAGGGTCAGCATTTTGAATCCATTTGGGACATCGAGGCAGCCAGGATAGCGCAGGTACAGACCCCCAGGAAAGAGGACTCCAGAGCTGCTGCAGAAAGCGGCGAGGACGTGGGACGAGTGCGTTCAAAGGGAGGGGAGGATTCTGAGGGAGTGAATGAATGGCAGTGTGTCTTTGACTGCAATGCACTTTTAAAATGTAAGCATTTGCCCTATTTTTCACCACACCTGGTAGCAGAGTGCTGTGGACTGCAGTTACCCTACTGAGCTTATCCCAGGCAGCTGAGCTTTGGAACCTGCTGTGCTCCCTCCTCTGCCCTCCTGCTTCTCTACCCTCCCAGACTCTGGGACTCACTGTTCCCCTCCCTCCTGCTCTGAGATCAGCTCCTCAGCTTCTCTTTCCCGCTTTCCTCCCCTGAGTGAGTACTTCTTGCAGTTAAAGATCTAGGATGTGCGGTTTCCACCTCTGCTCCTCAGTCTCATGCCCCACAGTGTGCTGAGTCCCTCCCAGCCCTGGAGTCCACTCAGGTAGGCAGGGAGAGCAGGTTTCCAACTCTGGGCCAGTGCCCGGGCTGCTCCATGATCGCTTTTCCCGAACAGGACACAGAACTCTTTAAGGTTGGCTGACTCAGGAGGGCAAAGGAGGGGCAGAGGGACACCGGGGACCGGGGCTGTGGTTGGCTTCCTTATTCTGAAGTAGTAGACACCTGTGTGTCACCAGGGCCACCACAAGCTTCTTGGATCTGGTTTCCTCTGTCCTGGGCTGTTCGGCAGATCCTGGCGCTCACAGATATCTTGTTCTCTCCCCCTGGGGCACAGAGGGGCTCTCTGCCCACCCTGGCGGGCCAGTGCTGGCAGAGGGAAGAGCTCCACGCGGATGTCCTCCACCCTGGGAAAGTCACTCAAGCCTGCCTGTTTCCCAGAGGCTCAGGCACACAGCTTCTGGTTGGTTTCTTTAAGGGATGGAGCTGCCAACAATTTCCACCGCCACGTTCCAGCTGTGTCGAAATCCTGGTAAAAGGATCAGTGCAGCCTGTGAGCATGTGCTGAGACATCACACTGAGTACCGTGAATATGTGCAATAACACATCCTAATTAATCAAGCAATACCAGCATCACAAGAGAGTGGAGGGAAAAGGGCCAAGAACGGATTTCGAACTGAGTCAGATTCTACTTCCTAGATACAAAAAAAGAAAAAAGGGATGAGTCCCACTTCCATCTTTTGAAGAAGGAAGAGATGGGTGAATTCTAAAGGTGAAGAAAAGCTGGATTCTGCTGTGTGTGTGTGTGTGTGTGCGCACGCGCGTGTGCACGTGCTGAAAGGAATCAGAAAGACAGACACACAGGTTCCCAGAGGGCAGCAGAAGGAACAGGCGAGGCCCCAGGAAGGCAGCCAGCAGGGCCGGGAAGGCAGTGGAAGGCCCTCAGCGAGGCCAGGTCCAGGCAGGGCCCGCCCGCAGGCCTGTCCCGGAATCCGCGTGAGCCTGACTTGTCGTCCCAGGAAGCTGAATCCTGTGTCTGTCCACCCTGCCTCCCATCTGTGGTCCCCCCACCCCTATACCCCAGCTGGGCTGAGTGTCCCTGGGAGCTTGCTCTCTGCAAGGATGGATTTCTGGCTGAAGACAGAGGACACGGACACAGCGAGAGCAGCGTCGTTCGAGCCGAGACACAGAGGCACCGCTGGTCATGGCCCGCTCTGCAGCTGGCCGCCCCCGCCCGGCCGCGCTTGTCCAGATTGGCTGAGCCGATAAGGCTGGGAAGGGACAGAGGCCCTGTAATCTCCCCACGCACCCGCTGCCTTTGATGCTGGGCTCACTGTCTTAATTACAGCCCTACACCCCCAGTGGCTCAACAAGGCGGGGCTGGCACTCCGAGAGGGTGGGGCCGCAAGGCGCCCCCAGCCCTCAGGACCCCCAGTAACTCAGCCCCGTGGCAGGCGGGACAGTCGGGGCCTCACATCTCAGAGTAGATGTTTCTTTCGTGTCTCTCCAGGAAGTATGTGAGACAGCTGGTACCTGGACGGGGCAGGACGGCCCGGAAGATGAGTCAGGGAACAGCACCTGGAGGGAAGCCCAGGGCCCTGCTGAAGACCAAGCCCATGGGACAAAGCCGGATGTCAGGAGGGAGCCCACGCCGGCTGCCCCAGGTCTGCGGACATACGCCACTTCTGAGACAAGCCGAGGGGGAAAGGTGGGCCCCACTACATGTGAATCTTGAATTGGAGACAGTGTGTTTCCATTCACTACCAAACCCTGTGGACTTACAAGGAAAATGAACCAGGCATGGTGGCGCACATCTGCGATCCCAGCACTTGGGAGGCTGAGGCAGGAGGATCACCATGAGTTCAAGGCCAGCCTGGGCCACAGTGAGATGCTGCCTCAAAAAGCAAACAACAACAAAAAACTCCGTCGGAAAATGAACCCATAGGCTTTTCAAAGACCTATGGTAATGAGTTTGACCCAAGAGAGTCGGGCAAGAGCCAACCCCTCTTCTTCTTCATGGGCAAGAGGCGGGGGAAGGGACTGCCTCAGTGAGCTCGGGCTGCTGTAGCGAAATCCCACAGACCACGCAATTTAATAGCAGAACTTAATCTGCTCAGAGTCTGGGGCGGCAGGCTATCCAGATCGAGGTGTGGTCGGCAGGCCTGGCTTCTTGCGAGATTTACAGTCAACGCCCTTCGGATTGTAGACCACTTCCTCCTCGTCCTGCCCTGGCAGGCGTTCCCTCAGAGTGCACAATCCCTGCATGGCGCACGTGTCTGCATTTCCTCCCCTCACGGCACAGTGGTCAGAGGGCAGCGGGATCCACCTAGACAGTTCCCTCTTAAATCACCTTTTCAAAGGCCGAAGTCTCTCAGCAGAGCTGAATTAGGAGCTACTGGGGCTTCAGCATACAAACATTGGGCAGAGGATGCATCTCACCCCAAAATATAGATGGTAGCTTTAAAAGAAAAAACAACAAGAACAGAACGATGATGAAACACACAGGTCCTGCAGGCCCCGACAGGGAAGCCGGGCACGGCTGCCCCAGGGCTGAACCAGAGTGGGACAGAAGCCACCAGGAGATGAGGTGGGAATGAAGACTCAATGTCTGGAGGACTGTAAACACGAGGAGTCTGTGAGTCTCCCACGGCCCTGAGATATCCCGCAGCTTGGGAAGCCCGCACCCATGGGGCACAGCTCAGAGCCAGCCAGTTTATTAAACAATGTCTCGAGGCTCTCCTGTGTCAGCCTGTCCTGCAGCAACCGCAGGGAGTGACGCTTTCACAGCAACAGGCCAGGGGCGGGCAGAGGAGCCTCACCTGCCCTGTCAGTCACTCTCCCACCTCTGCAACGCAGCCCCGACTCCCACAGCTGGAAGGGGGAGGTTATGTTGGCTCACAGCGTCTGGAGCTATAGTCCATGGTCCGCTGGCTCCAGGTGGGCGGCATGGCGGAGGAGGACAGCGCTCACGGTGTGGTGGGCAGGGAGCAGAGAGCAGTGAGGAGCCAGGAGGGAGATGAACCTGTCTGGGCCTCACTCGCCACGATCCTCCTCTTCCACCAGACCCCACCTCCCAGCAGCAGGCCGCCTGCGTGCCTCATGACCAGCCACCTTCCATGAGCCCTGCTGTGAGCGCCCGAGGCTTGGGGACCTCTGGGTAGAAGCCCGACCACCTTCCTGCTGTGCTGAGGGCTGGGCCTCTGGCATGGCAGCCCAGCGGGAGGAGGAGGGCAAATTCGCCCCTGCCTGCGCGCTGGCCCCCAAGGGGCACTGCTGGCTGGCAGAGCCCGTGGAGGTGGACTGGGGAACCCCGTGACTAACACGCACTGTGATAGGGGAGGAAGGAAACAGGAGTGGCGGGTGTTGCATCACAGGCCCAGATAAATCCCACTCAGATCGAGGGTTCAGACAGGCTGTCCCCGTCCCCAGCCGCTTGCCTGATTGCTGTCTCCACAGCCATGTCCCCAGGGTGGCTGGCTCTTGCCCTCCTGAGTGTGCTGGATGCACAGACCCAGGCCTTCAACCCCCGGCTGGTCGAGTGTTTCGAGGACCCCCAGTATGAAGAGCTGCTGCAGCTGGCCCGGGATGGACTGGGGCACACGGCCAACAAAAAAGAGGTGGTGATCATTGGGGCTGGCATGGCCGGGCTCACTGCGGCCAAGACTCTGCAGGACGCCGGCCACCAGGTACACACGGGCTTGGGGAGTCACGTGGGGGACACAGGCTGGAGAGGGAGGGGGACACTAGCAGTGGACAGCCCCGGGGCACGGGCCAGAGGCCAGGCTGGGGCTCCTTGCCAGGTGAAAGGGCAGGAGAGCAGGCGGCTGGCCTTATAGCTGAGGGACCTCAGAAAGGCCCAGAGGGGAAAGCGCCAGCCCTGCCTGGGGATGGGGTGTGAGGGCAGCCTCCAGCCACTGGTCTCTTGCAGGTGACGGTGCTGGAGGCCAAAGGGAACGTGGGCGGCAGGATAGAGACCCACCGTGTCCCCGGAGCAGACTGGTACATAGAGCTGGGCGCCATGAGGATCCCCAGGAACCACAGGTACAGTGGCGAGAAGCGGGCACGGATGAGGAAGCCAGGGCTCGGGGTGCTGGCACTGAGGCCAAGAAGACAGCAAGGGGTGGAGTCCTTTCCTGGAACCCAAGGGGCCAGCGTCAGTTCCCAGCCATTTCCCAGCTGCAGGCTCCCAGGAAACTTCCCTGTCTGAATGGATTCATTTACACAATGGCCTGGCCACACCTGCTGGGCCTGCTGGGGACACTGCTGAGGGACGCCAGAGCTCACGGGGCGGGGGCCACTGGAGAGGCGCGGCCGAGGGACACCTCTGGGAACCCTTCTGGCTCGTCCGGGACCTACGGTGGTCCCGAAACCTCCTGGCCACGTGGCCCTGAGCCTGGCACAGCGACCGGGACCCCGCACCCCTCCGTGGAGCCCAGGGCAGCCACGTGACTCCAGGGAGCAGGGAGGCTGCTCGATTCTCGCCCCAGCCCCACCAGCTCCTTCTCCCCCTCGTGCAGGCTGTCCATCGAGTTTGTCCGGAAGCTGGGGCTGCACCTCACCGAGTTCTGCCCCTGCAACAACCAGACCTGGGTGCTGGTGAACAGGGTGCGGCAGCGCTTCGGGGCCGTGCAGGCCAACCCCGACCTGCTGGGCTACGTGGTCCGAGCCCACGAGGCTGGGAAGACGGCCGAGCAGCTCTTTGAGCAGTCCCTGAGGAAGGTGAGCTGGGCGGAGCTCCTGCGCTTTCTCCGGGCCGAGGGGCTCACAGGTCCCCGACACAGGGGCAGAGAAACTTCAGGGGCCCCGGCTGCCTGGCCTTGTCCTGTGCCACTGTGCACTGGGGGACCCCAGATGTCTGCACCCTCGCAGAGGAGTCCAAACCTCGCCAGTGAAATCACGGCAGGTCCAGGATTCGGCAGCAGGGGGACTCCCACAGGCTTGCTGGGGGACCGGGCAGGTGCTGCCATTTCTGTGGCCGGCTTCCATGGAGCAATCCCACTGCCAGAGCCCCTTCTGGCTGCTGGGGACCAAGTGTGAGACCTGAGCCAGGCCACAGCCAGCAGCGCAGTCAGCTGTCCTGATGTGAGGCTTGTGGTCCGGAGGCGGGACATAGCCGGCCGTGGGCCCAGGTTTGCCTGGCATGGGCAGCGTCTTCGCCTCACGTGCCCCGTGCCCCAGAGGGACCTCGGGGTGACCGCGGGCCCGGGGACGGGGGCCCTGGCTCTGCAGTATCACCTGCCGTGGCCCCGATGGCCACGTTGAGCCCTGAGACCCCATCCGGCCTCCCTCTGCCGCTGTCACCCACTCTGTTCATGACAGCCTCAGGGACACCGGATGCCCCCAAACACAGCAACCAAACGACAGAGACCAGGATAGCTGGGTTCAAAGTAACACATTTACGAAGCAAGAAAAAATTCTATCAGCAGGAAATATCATGATTGCAACTCAACAAAAGTTAGTGATGGGCCCGGGGATTTAGCTCAGTGGTGCTGCCGCCTGCCTCACAAGTGCAAGGACCCGAGTCCCATCCCTGGTACCAAAAAAAAAAAATGAGTGAGGTGATTTCTACCACCCGGTTCATTCCATATCCCATCTTCCTCCAAAGTGTCCTTCGAGATAACTTTCCAGATCAGCGTTTAATCCAAGCAGTGGCAGCTTGTCCAGCAATTCCATTCTTTTTACCTAAATATTGTTTTCTTGTGTGATACCTATTTAGTTAAAAGATGTTGCATTTTGTGATTTTTATATTGTTTCTCCACACTCTATATTTCCCGGTCATTATAAACAAGACATAAAGTGCTCATTAAACCTAAAGGTTCTTGGGTCAAAAGAAAAGTGTCCTCGAGTCAGGACATGGCGTCGTGTCCCTTCTGGGGCAGCAGGAGAGCTGCCGGTGAGCCCGAGAGCAGAGGTGGCGTCTCGGCCATCCGAGGCACCTTCGTCCTTGGGCACTGTGGGGACTGGGCCACCAGAACCTGGCTCCCACACAGGCGGGAGCGAGGCCGACACAGCGGGGTGTGCAGGCCGGGCAGGAGGCTCAGCGCGTGACGTCCCTCCTCCTCCCGTGCGCAGGTCGAGGAGGAGCTGAGGAGCAGTAGCTGCCGCCGCGTGCTGGAGAAATACGACTCCTTCTCCACCAAGGTCAGTCCGGGGACCCTCGTCTGAGCGGCCCTGTCGCTGCCCCTGGTGACCACCCCGGCAGGACCATGCCCAACACTCGGAGATCTTCTGCACTCTGCCTCCTCAGCTGAAGGAAGCTCTAACCTAACCCTAAGGCAGGCCCTGACCCGGACGCTGCTTGCTCAGTGCGGTACACAGGGAGGCAGCCTGCTGGGGGAGGCTCCAGGGGAAGAAAGCCTCAGGCAGCTCTGCAGCGTGGAAGGAGGGGCCGCGTCAGAGCAGCACCCCAGCCCGCGCCTCCTCACTGTGCGGAAGGCCTCACTCACACCAGCGAGCCCGGCGGGACGTAGCGCTGGCGGGTGGCTCAGGTCCGGGCTGTGTGCTGTCCTGGGACAGGGTCACAGGCGCGTGGCCATGGCTGGCGGGACAGCCTCTCAGAGCCCGGAGGCACAGCGCTGGCCGGGCTGGGGCCCCTACACACCACACACAAAGGCCACCGCGGGGAGGGGTCCGCTATGCCTGCCTGCAGGCGGACGGCCCCGGAGTGTGACTTTGCCTCAGCTGCGGTCCTGAGAAGGAAGCGGGGTGGGGCAGGGCGTGAGAAGCAGAGGCGCTGGTCTTGAGCAAGACCCGACCACCAGAGGTTTCCCCTTTGGCAACTGCACCAGAGGTCGGGGCCAGGGCTTGCGTTTGCACGTGGACGGTCGCTGTGTGCTCAGGTCCAGAAGGGAAGGGGACAAAGGCGACAGGGACTGCGGAAGGAAGATGACCCGAGATCTCCAGGGCGCCAGGTCCCCAAATCCCTGGAACAGGCGCCCCACTGGGGCCGTCTGGCTCTGCCTCCTGACCCTGGGCGTTAAGGGCTGGCGCTGCTCTCCCCAAGCACGTCCCTCTAGGCACTGCCGGGACGAGGGGCCTTCACACCAGGCCACATCCCCAGCCCTTTCTCTTTGTTTCTTTTGAGACAGGGTCTCATTAGGGTCACGGTGCCCTGGCTGGACTCGAACTCATGATCCTCCTGCCTCAGCCTCCCAAGAGAGCTGGAGCACAGGCGTGTGCAGCGCCTGGCTACCTGGCCCTTCTTTTGGTTTGTTTTTTTGTTGTTGTTGCTACTGTTTTGTTTTTTGGGTCCCGGGGATTGAACTCGAGTCCTTGCACTTGTGAGACAGGCGGCAGAACCACTGAGCTACATGCCCGGCCCCCTCCTGGCCCTTCTTGAGGGTCTCTGCTCTGCCTGGGCCACGCTGCCCTGCAGCCCAGGCGTGGCTGTTGACTCCAGCTCGGTGGAGGTCGGCACCCAGCCCCGTCAGGCCCTGCCCTGGTGCCCAGGCACAGCACAGCCCGGCCGCGCCCACTGAGGGCTCCCTGGAGGAGGGGCAGGGGCCGCAGGACGGGGAGTCCCTGCGGACAGACAGGACAGGCCAGCAGGCGGCAGGGAGGCCGAGAAGGACGCTCGGCACTCAGACTCCCCGGCCCGGGTCCTGGCCGAGCAGCCAAGCCGTCCTGCAGAGGAGCAGAAAGATCCGGCCTCGGCCCGGCTTCTTACCACTGCCTAGTAGGACGGCGTCCCGTGTGAGCTGCTGCGCGTGCCTGGCACACTTCCCTCTTCCCATCCCCTGCCTCCGTATCTTCTCCCGTCCGTTTCCCATCTTCCACCTTTCATTTTGCTCTGTCATTTGTGAATGCATCGCGTTTCTTTAACCCCGAGTCGCTGCAGCTCCCACGTCTGGTTCAGGCTCACAGGGCGGCCCGAGGTGCACGCACCTCCCACAGGAGGTAACCCCAAGGAGGGCGCCCGAGTGAGGCCTGAGGGGCTCCTCTTCTGCCGCTTTCCTGCACTGGACTGAGCATTCGCCCGTGCCCAGCCGAGCCCCGAGTGTGGGCGCCCGGGGCCATGGCCCAGGTGGGCAGCGGGGCGGGCCTCTTGGGGCTGCCCCGCCGCCTGACGCTGGCCTCCTCTGCGCGTCCCAGGAGTACCTGATCAAGGTGGGGAACCTGAGCCGCGGTGCCGTGCAGATGATCGGGGACCTGTTGAATGCAGACTCCGGCTACTACGAGGCCTTCATGGAAACGCTGCGCGGCTTCATCTTCTTCTTCCACGAGCCCCAGTGGGGAGCGGGACAGGAGGGTGGGCAGGGGCAGAGGTCGGGGCTCCTGGGGTGGGCTGGACAGACGGTGGGGAGGAGGGAGGCGCCTGGACCACCACCCCCACAGCCTGAAGCCAGGCCACTGGCTCCCGAAGAGAAGGTTTTCAGGACATCAGAGACAGGAAGGGATTCACTGGGCACAAACCCAAAGCTACAGGAAGCAGCTGACAGTGGCTCCCAGGGGCCCTGTCGTCTGGACCTGCCGGTGTTTCAGGGACTGGGTGACGTCCAGACGGGGCTGTGGGCTGTGCGTCCTGCTGCCCGACTGGCCACCATGGGGCTGTCACAGTGCCGACTCCCTGCGTTTCACACTGAGATCCCAGGCCCAGCAGCACTGCTGCTCCCTGGGGGGGGGGGGGCAGGGCAGGAAGTGAGGCTTGGGGAAGAGCACAGGCCCAGGGCCCACTTTACAGGCTCACCGTGCCTTCAAATTCCCTTAGGAATTTTTTCCAAGTGAGTTCCCTGGAAGGAAAGGGCTTGAGTAACTTGGGTCCTAAGCCTGAAGATTTTCTTAAAAGTGCAGTTTTAAAATTCCAATTTCCGCCTGCTGTGGTGGCACACACTTCATCCCCAGCACTTGGGCGGCTGAGGCGGCAGGATGACCATGAGTTCAAGGCCAGCCTGAGCTATATCCATGTCTCCAAAACCCTACCCAAGTCCCAATTTCCTTGTCTCTTTTCTGCCTCTCTTTATTTCTTCCATTCCACCTCGAAGAAGGAAGAAATAAACCAGGTGAACATCCCTGAAGGAATGGGAGCCGGGAGGTGGCGGGCAGGGATTTCCGAGCTGCCGGGATGGGGCCGGCACCCCCAGGGCCAGGACCTGAGGCCTCGCCCCGCAGCGTCCCAGCGGCACCGGTCAGAACCCCACTGGGAGAGCAGGAGCCAGCAAGTCCGCCCCCTGTGCCGCAGACTGCAGCCTCTGCTGGGCCAGGGCTCCACACAGGGGCTCTTGACAGCTTTGAGTTCAGGAAACTGTGCCGGGGGTGGGGGTGCTGACCCAGAGCCCGCCCCACCCCGGTCACTGGCCCCGGAGGGCCTGTGTGGATGAACCCATCGACTCAGAGATGCAGCAGGCCCAGACCTCCTGAGGCCCAGGGCGCCTAGCCGGGGAGCCCAAAGGGGGACACGGAGGCACCCGGCTTCCTGCGCACCCCCTCCCGCTTCTCAGCCTTGGGTTCAGGGTGAATCCACTGAAATTCAAGCCAAGCGCTACCACAGGGAAGAGGGAGCACAGGAAGTCTTGAGCACGAGGAGTCTGGGGTGTCCACCCTGCATCTGGGGCCCTGGCTGGGTGCTGAGGGGCAGCAGGGGCGTCCTGGGTCTCTGCCAGCCTTGGCCCCAGAGCGCAGGTCCGGCAGGTGCGGTGGGGCTGCCCTTCTCTGCAGGCGCGGGCCTTCCTGTCCGGGCCTCCCCGTCAGCACCGCCTGACCTGCAGGCCTGGGGACCCGGGCTCCTGGGACCTCCTCTCCAGCTGCTGCCCTCTGCCTCCCTCCCACTCCAGGTTCTATGAGATCATCGGGGGCTTCGACCAGCTGCCCCAGGCCCTGCACCAGGCCCTCCAGCCGGGCACGGTGCGGCTGCACTCGCCGGCAGAGGAGGTGGAGATGGCCGGGGACCGTGTGCGCGTCATCCACGGGACGCCCGACCCCCTGCGGCCCAGGGCGCACCTGACAGCTGACTTCGTGCTGGTGGCCACCACCGCCAAGGCTGCCCGGCTCCTCCGGTTCCGGCCGCCCCTGTCAGGCAGCAAGGAGGAAGCGCTGCGCTTGGTCCACTACAACAGCGCCACCAAGGTGATCCTGGCCTGCACCCAGCGCTTCTGGGAGCGCGACGGCATCCACAGCGGCAGGTCCGTCACCGACCGGCCCTCCCGCTTCATCTACTACCCCAAGCACGTCTTCCCCAATGGCACCGGGGTCATCCTGGCCTCCTACACCCTGGACGACGACGCCCGCTTCTTCTCCACCATGGACCAGGCGCGGGTGGTGGACATCGTGCTGGGCGACCTGGCCGCCATCCACGACCGCCCCAAGGAGGAGCTCCGGGCCCTGTGCCCCTATTCCTTTGTCAAAAACTGGGGCCGCGACCCCCACTCCATGGGTGGCTTCACCTTCTTCACCCCCTACCAATTCGTGGACTACGCCAAGGAGCTCAGCCAGCCGGAAGGGCGGGTGCACTTTGCAGGCGAGCACACGGCCCTGCCCCACGGCTGGATCGACACGGCCATCAAGTCCGGGCTCAGGGCGGCCAAGAGCATCCAGGCGGCTGCGGGCCTGGCCGAGGGACGGGAGCCCGGGCTCGCGAGAGGGCCCCGCTCCAAAAGTGAGCTGTAGGCCAGGCGCGAGTCCAGCCAGCGTGGCTCGCCAGGCCCCGCTCTCGCTTCGTGCTCACTTCCAGCGGACCCAGGCGCTGCCTACGTTACCCCCGCGCCCCGACGCTGTCTCCACCGAGAGCGCCCGGGAGGCAGCCATTAAAACCACAAAGCACGCTTTGAGTTGAGACTATCACCAGGTGTCCGTCTACATCCCGGGTGGCATCTGTTATTAGCTTTCCCATCGCAACACCCACACGCACGACTTAAAAGTTCGCTGGCTCCAAAGCAAAACTGTCCCGCGGGAGAGCACGGTGGACCCCACTGCTGACTCCTGGAAGCTGGGAAGCGAGGGGGAGCTGTGCCGACAGGAAGGGCGCAGGGGCCAGAGGTGGACCCCAAGGCCGCCCAGACATAGTCGCCCCTCCCAGCTCCGGGGGTCCCAAGCCAATCAGGCTGACGCCACCCGACCCCCAGAGGAGCTCAGCCCAGCGCCGAAGGCCAGACGCTCGCCTTCCGGGCCCTTCCGGTCCTCTGCTCTCTCTCTCTCTCTCTCTCTCTCTCTGTCTTTAATCCCAGCTCCCCACCCCACGTCCCACCACTGCGAATCGTAAGAGGCTGGGGACTCAGGGACCTCCCCAGGCTGCACCACCACAACCCCAAGGTGCACCTTCTGATATCACTCTGTGTTCAGACGAGGAAACCTGGCTCTCAGACGAATACCGGTCACAAATGGTGCCCATGGCCCGGAGATTTAGCCCAGTGGTTCCACCCCCTGCCTCAAAAGCCCAAGGTCCCGAGTTCTATCCCTGGTACCAAAAAAACAAAACCCAAAAAACAAATGCTGCCCGAAGTGATTCAGACTTGAACCTGGCTTCAAGTGTAATTCCAAACCGTCTTGCTTCTTCTAGGCTCTGCCTCTCTCTTATTCTTTTTGTGGTCATGGACAATTAGCAATTCTCTTTGGAGACATCCAGCAATGAATGTATTATGTGGTTGAATGAATAAAAGTTCTCACCATGCCCAGGGCTGTAACTTTCCTCACTTTCGAAGCCTTTCCATCCTGGTAGCCCTAGGAAGTGAAGAGGCAGACAGATGGACACACAGACGGACAGACAGACAGACGGATGGCAGTAGAGAGATTCGCCGTGGATGAGGGTCTGGGAAGCCCAGCACTAGCAGAGCCCTGCCCTGAATTTTGTCCCTAAGGGACTCCCTGGGGTGGGGGTCAGCCACCCAGGGGGCACAGGAAGAGGCCAGCCGGCTACCAAGTGGGGCCGCTTGGCACCAGAGCCCTCAGACACAGGGGAGACGGAGCCTTCCTCCTTGCAGCTGAGTAAGCGCTCGCCACCCACCACGACCTGCACCGGCCCCGCCCGCAAGCCAGCAGGTGAGCCTGCCAAGGGTTGGCAGAGCTGACAGACATGGGGCTCACAGGTTGGGATGAGGGATGTAGGCAGGACTGCCAGGGGAGCCCGGTGCTCAGGTAACTACCGGCAGCCTACTCTGGGGGGTAGACACCCTGGCATCCTCAGTCTGGCTCCCAGGGACAACCCAGGAAAGGGTGGCACACTCAGAGAAGCCGAGGATTCGGGGTGCACGCAGGCCATGGGCGCCTTCTTCTCCGGGCAGTGACCCCCACCCGGCTCCCCTGCACCTCGCCCCAGGCTCTCGCTACCCAGTGTGGAGGGTGAAGTAATTAAAAGTAATGACCATGGTTCCATCACACGAGCATAGCCTCCTCGTGAGTCCTGCCCCAGCATTCCCAACTCTGGCCACCACCGATCCGCGTACCGTTACCACGATCTGGTCATTCCTAGAATCTCATGTGTGAGTTGGGGGGTTGTTTGTCCGGTTGGTTTGGTTGGTTGTTTGTTTGAGAAAGGGTCTCCCTCTGTAGCTCAAGCTGGCCTGGAACTCACTGTGTAGCCCAGATTGACCTCGAACTCTGGGCGATCCTCCTGCCTCAGCCTCCCAAGTACCAGGTTTCCAGGTCCCTGCCACCACGCCCAGCTGTACGTGAGCTTTTGAGATGGACTTTTTACACAGTATAATTCCAAGGTCTATCAGACTGTCTTCTGTATTGATGGATGTGTTTGTGTTTATTGCTAAGTAGCTTTTTTTTTTTTTTTAACAATGATGAGGGTTAAACCCAGGACATTTATGTTTTTATTTTGAGACAAGTCTCAGGAAGTTGCTCAAACTGGGCTCATAGTTGTGATCCTCCTGCCTCAGCCTCCCAGAGTGCCGGGATTCCAAGCCGCACCCCCTCGCGGGGTTTCCGGTAGCGATCCGCGGCGTGGGAGCACCACCATGTCAAGCCCCCTCACACAGGAACTTCAGTTATATTCAGTTTGGGGCCGCTACAAATAACAGTGCAATGAACACTCGTGTGTAAGTTTTGTGCAAACAAAGGTTTGTGCTTCTAGGGGACAAATGCCGCGGAGTGTAACTTCCCGCTCGCACGCTGGGTGCAGACTCAGGTCTGCAAACCCCGACCTAGCTTGCAGAACGGCTGTGCGGGTTCACACCCGCGGCGCGTCCGAATGCGTCCCTGCGGCTCGCCAGCAGGGGGCGCTGCACTCCTTACCCGGGCCAGTCTGACAAGCAGGAATTCAAGCCTCCTAGGCGCTAAGAAGTCGTACTCAACCCTCTGGAGCGTCTTTCGCTTCATTTCTTTGGTGAAATATCTTCTCAGGTCCGTTTCCTTTTCCAGTTGGACCGCTCACCTTCCTCCCGCCAGGCTGGGCGTTCTCCGAGCGTGCTGGGTCAGAGGCCTTCGCCCGGCTGCGCCCGCGGGCTGTTCTCCCTCTGGCCGCCCTTTCTTCCCAGAGGGGTCCCACAGAGCGAGTTCGGACCCCGCGAGCTCCGCTTTAACAGCGCTTTGCACTGTGGACCCCGTCCCAGCCGTCACCGAGCGCTCGGCCCTGAAGATCTCCTCCTATTTTCATCTGCAGGTTTTATAGCTTCACATGTCACGTTTAAATCTAGGATTCCTTTTGAGTGAATTTTTGGACAGGAGGGAAGTAGTTTTTCAAATAAAATATATCTTTCTACCAATAAATTCTATATTCTTGTGAGAGAAAACTCAGCATGTGCATGACATTATAACAAGCTTTAAAAACTCACAGTGCCAGCACCACAGGAAGTCAGTCACCGTCACCGGCACCGTAGGTCTCTCCGCCTCCCTTTGTTCCGTGGGCTCGTTTCAATTCAGCTGGAAGATCAGGCAAGATTTAAACCCAGATTTAAAGATTAGCTAGAATTTCACCCTTCCCCGGCCCCTCCTTCCCGGGGCCTTGGCGTTGAGCTGAATCTCGCCCTTTGACTGCTAGGGTCTCACTCTGGTACTTTGCCCGTGCTGGGCTGAAATTTGGGATCGTCCTGCCTCAGCCTCCCGTAGGGCTGGGATTACAGGCGTGCCCCGCCACGGCGCTCTTCCGCATCCTTTGGCCACTTTTAGGGAGAGCAGGATTCGTGGGCTGGAAACCCGGGGGTAGGGCGGAGTAGGCGCGAGCTAGGGTGCGGCGGGCGCCGCCTGGGTTTGCGCTGCAGCGCCAAGGAAAGGGAAAGGGAAAGGGAAACGGAAAGGGAGACGGAAGCCACCAAGGCGCGCCCAGCGCCCGGCTTCGCGGCGGCCGGCCGAGGAGTCCTCGGGGAACACTGCGGGCCGCGGTGGGCTGTCCTCGGGAGACCCACGGCGTTCGCAGTGAGTTCATCTCCGTTCTGTTCTTTAGGAAAGAAACAAAAGAAGCCTTCCCTGACCGGGAATCGAACCCGGGCCGCGGCGGTGAGAGCGCCGAATCCTAACCACTAGACCACCAGGGAGGTACTGCTAATGTTTGTCCGCGAGCGCTGAAGGAGCCTGCACCGCCCACGGTGCCCGCGAGGCGTGGCAGCGAGCGCTCAGGCCGCCTGCAGCAGGGGAGGCGGCTCGCATCGCCTGGCCGGGGGAGGTCCCGGGGGGAGGAAGGAAAAAAAGGGCTTGTCAGAAGTGGGATTCGAACCCAGCCTCCACGCGGAGACCAGAACGCCCGCGGGCAAAGTGCGAACCTGGCGCCTCAGACCACTCGGCCATCCTGACACTAGGCAGCTGGCGGGGCCCACTCGGCCTGCAGCCTGCGCCCCGCCCCGCCCCCCGCCGCCGCGGGCCAGCACCGACCACCCGAGCCCTGCAGCCGGGCGTCGGGCTGAGGCACAGGGAGAGGCTGAGGCAGGAGGATCGGAGTTCGAGCCCCTTCTGGGCAAACTGACAACTTAGACCCAGTTTCAAAAAATGAAAAAACCAGACCTGGGGATGTAGGTCAAAGGGAAGGCCCCGGCACCACAAATTAAACCTAAAGGCCCGGGCCTCAGAGACCGCAGGACGACGCCCCGGGGAAGTCGCTACCTGCACTCGGTTCCGCCTCTCCGCCCGCCCCGCCCCGCCCCGCCCCGCCCCGCCCCGCCCCGGCCTGCAGGCGTGTGGCGTGCGGCAACTCCCGGGAGAGGGCTGGAGACGCGCACGTTCTCGCGGGAGCCTCCTCTCGCGCCCTCCCCGCGCTACTGTCCAGTGCGTGGGAGGCGCGAGAGGTCCGGCCTGCGGGGGAGCTTCCGGCCGAGCTAGTGGGGGGCGGGCTCGGGGCGGGCTCGGGGCGGGGCTCAGGCCGCATTTGCGGAGCGGGTGGAGTCCGCCTCCCGGCAGGACCGCCGTATACACAGCGGGTCGGCGCTGACTCGGCTTCCTGGGCCAAATACCACCCATCCATCCATTTCTCAGCCAGCCACCCATCTACCCATCCACACGCCCTTCAGGCACCATCCATCTATCCACCCATCCATGGAAACTTCCTGTACTGCAAACAGTTTGAAAGACCCAGATCCCCGTGCTGGTGCATAATCAGCACAGATGTGTCTCCAATGTGGAGAAAACAGAGTGCAGTCGTGAACAGGGCCAGCGTTCTATTTTAGAACGGGCTGCTAAGTAAAGCCTCACTCAGGTGACTTGCAAATATATCTCACTAACAAAAATACGCGGTTTATGCAAATATAAAAATGCACGCGTGTCAAGATTTTATTCAATTAATGTTAAGAAATTTACACGTGTTTCAAAGTAAATAAGATCATTCGAACTATTGTAATAGGATCTTGCAACAGGGGAGAGAAACTGGCCTCAACTCCACTTCAACAAAGACAGCTGTGGATTTATGGCCCTTGCTGGAGAGCCTGCGGGTAAGAGAGACCTGAGGGTTAGGGGATTCTCGCTAAACCTGCCTTACAGGAGTCTTGCTAAAATTAGGCCAGGGATTTAGGCATCACCAGCCTGACAATCAGATTTAGTGAGGCCTGCTACGGCCGGACGGGACAAGCCAAACATGGCCTATGCCTGGCCCAAAAGAGCCCAGAGAGCCAGGCAGAGAGGGACACAGCCAAGGCAAAGGAGAATTTTAAGAGATTTGAAACGTAATCATCCAGCCAAACACATGCTGCGAAGCATTTGCTGATGCATGTAAGCCCGCTTGCTAATATCCTAAGTGTAGTTATTGCAGGTAGGTAAGTTAATTGCATGTTTTGTAGACAGACAGGGCCAGCCCTTGAGGAGCCAACATGGAGGACAGTCAAGACACACTGAAGGCCAGCACTGTAACAGAAAAGGAACTACCACACCCGCGTGCTTCCCCTCAGGCTGAATAGCAGTGACTGATTCTCTAAGTAGGTATAAGCACCAGTGTGGGGGACCTAGCTCTTACCCAGCCCTCCAGGAAAGGTCCCCGACTGAAAGTCCTTGTGCACTTGCTATGTGACTTGCTGCTCGTTTGGATCCCGCTTATGCAGTATTACCTAAGCAACTATAGTTGTAATCTTACTTGTTGATCATGGTTTTGCCCACCTTGTGATTTCTCATTGGATCAGTATTGTCTGAGTGACTGTACTTGCAATCTTACTAGTTGACTATGGTTTTGTCCCACCTTGAACCTGCCTCAGCTCATGGCTTTGTCCTACAAAACACCTTTGAGAAGCGGGGTTGGCCAATCCCCTCTGTCTCTTTTAATAAATTTTTCCTACTCTTAACTCCATTGTTCCTAGAAATCATTCTTCAGTTTTTTCCTCCGTACCAGGGATTGAGCTCAGGACCGTGGGCTTGGGAGGCAGGCGTGGTGCCACTGCGCTAAATCCCCGGTGCTCGCTCTTTGATTTTAGAGAACAGGAACTTGTGCCTCGGATACCGAGCAGGATTGGGAGTGTTGCACCTATTCCCCTGTATCACAGTCGCCTGTAACGTTGGAAGTTACGGGTGCTGCCCTGAAGTCATCTTTTTTCTGCTGCAGAGAAACCAGTTGTATCTCTTGACAAGTTCTATTTGCGGTGCTGTGAATAGGAACCCCTAACCTTGCTCAGAGAAACCACCCTTGTCACGGTTAGTCCCCCGTGAGGCCACCTCTACTCCCCTAGGAGCTGTCAAACAGCCAGGTGAGGCAGTGAGGGGCAGGCTCAGGCCCAGGAGTCAGGGGACCTCGGAGGGTCTGTCTCACAGCAAAGCAGGCCACAGAAGGGCGCCTCGTGACCTCTTTCGTCTATTTCGAAGATGAGGATAATATTTCCAGCTTTTTCAAATTTTACTTTACTTTTAATTGGCAGGTGACAGTTGGAGATATTTATGGAGCACAATGTGCCGTTCCCATACACGCACCCACCGTGAAGTGATCACATTAGGCTAAAGAGCATGCCCACTCCTCATCGTTTCTGTGCAGTGAGAGTTACCAGCTCCCTCTAGCTCTCAGCTCTGCATTTTGGGGCAGCGAAGAGGGAAGCCCACAGAAGAGCAAGCAGCGAGCCGTGGAGAACGGCCGCATGTGTGCGGATCAGCAGGAGTAACGGAAAGCTCCCTGCTGTGGGCTCAGGGTCTTTATGTAGCTTTTGGTGCTGGTGCCCGTGACAGAAAGCAGGGAGGCCCTTAGCGCTGGGTAGGCCTTGGTGTCTGGGGCATGAACTGCTTCATTCGCATTTTATTTTTCCCAAGGTCTCTTTCATTTGTTCAAGGACCTGATTTTTGCCTCTTGAATTTTATTAGGCCCTGATAGCCTATTTTGCTATGTTAACTCACTTGGGCCCCAGCTTTTAGTTTATTTTAAGTTAACTGTTTAGGACCTGTGTCCTATCTGGGATTGTTTTTGTTTTAATCTCTTGGTTTTAAGAATTTTTAAAATCCGCTCTTGTGGCAATTTTGACATTCAAAATACATTATTGACTGTAACAGCGTGCGGTGTGATCTTCCCCAGGGACCACTCTTTCCACCAAACTGAAATGTGGGCCCTGTGGCCAGCGCCTCCCTTCGGTGCTCGCCACACCCCGCCCGCTCTGATAAGCAGGGTCCCAGTCTCTGCTTCTGAGGCCCACACATACGTGCCATCACACGGTGCTTGTCTTTCTGTGCTTGGCTTATGACACTTAGCAGGGGTCTTCTAGACTCCTCCATGTTGTCACAAATGGTGGAAGGTTGTTCTTTTTTAAGGCTGAATAGTATTCCACGCCAGGTACCTTCATCCCTTGATGGGCACTTTGACTGTCTCTGTATTTTGCCTGTTGTGAATAATGCTGCGGTGAACATGGGGTGCAGATACCCCCTCCTTGTGTGAATTGCAATTGTTTGGGTACATATTCTGTAATGAGGTTGCTGGGTCACATGGTAATTCTACTTTCTGGGTCCCCCCTTACCGGGAATCAAACTCAGGATCTTGTGCTTACCAGGCAGGCACGGCGCCACTGAGCTACATCCCCACCCCTCACTTTCTGTTTCTTGAGGAATCTCCACATCGTTTTCCATAAGCCTGTACTACTGTCCCCACCAACATGTGCAAGGGTTTCCCTTCCTCCACATCCTTGCATTTGTTCAAAGTGCAAGAGTGGCTGTTCAAATCGATGTATCTGCAGCGGGGTGAGGGCTGGGGAGTCCTGTTCTCTCATCTCACTCCACTCCTGCAGCAGATGTTGTCACTTCAGCCTCTTGCCCGAGGGCAGGAAGTAAGCGTCCTGGGAAAATGGAGGGCACTGTCCACATGCCCTCTCCATTCTCTTCACACTGACCGCGCCCAGTGAGCAGCCTGACGGGTTGGCCTCTGTCCCCTCGGCACGGCCTGGAAATCTCCCTGGCTGGAGTTGAGCTCCTGGAGGCCAGCAACCCTGAAGAAAGCAGAGAATAAAACGAAGTGAAAGGTGTGATTGAAATACATGGTGATGCCGGGGATTTGGCTCAGTGGCACCACGCCTGCCTCGCAAGCGCAAGGTCCCGAGTTCGATCCCTATGGTGAACGTTTAAATGTTTTAAACAGGTATTACATTCAAAGATACATTTCCACGAATCCCCTTCAGAATCCTCCTCCTGACTGCACACACACTTATTCCATCATTCCGGCCACTTTCTGCAGCAGTTCTGCAAGTCCTCTTTCCTTAGTGTCTTTAGTTGTGCAGTTGTGGCTGCCTTGATGTCCTGAATCCACTCAAAGCACGGCCCTTTCATGGTCATTTGGGCTATGGAAATGAGCCAAAAGTCACACAGTACGAGATCCAGTGAGTAAGGTTATGATCTTTTAATTTAAACATAATTAGAGGAACAGAGTCACTGCTTAACTGATGGAGGGGAGGCTGAGAGGGGCTGAGGGCAGAGGAGGGCGCTCGGAGTTCCAGGTGCGGCCTTGAGAAGTCGGGGAAGCCGTCAGGCACAAGCTCCGAGGCCAGGTGAGAGGCCAGGCTGGGCTCCAGTCCATGACGAGGGGTCGGCTCCCCGGGCAAGTGGGTCTGGAGGCGGAGGACTGGGCCTGTGACCTTCCAACTGGAAAGGGAGAGGGAGGGGCTGAGGAGAAGCAGCCAGCGGAGGACGGGCCAGGGGTGCGATGCGGTGCAGAGTCGGGAGAGCTGTGCAGGGCCGAGGGGGGGGGGGAGGCGGCGGCGGCGGCCCGGGGCAGCGTGAGTGGCTCGGGGCGCAGCGCCATCCGCGCTGGCAGCACCGGGCGTCCTTTGGGCCTTCCGATGGGAAGGGATCCTCAAAAGGTAGAGTTAGCTGCGGGTGACCCCGGGATCAGGGAAGACTTGGGGTTTCTTTTCTTTGCATGCTATGTGGGGCTCGGGGCATTGAGCCAGTGTTGTCTGACTTCTCAGTACTCTTTGGGTTCCCCAGGTTATGGGATGACACCCACAGAAAGCTGTACAAAATTGTTTTTGTAATTTTTAAAAAATAATTTATTATCACACACACACACATACAAAAAATTAAAACCATTCAAAGAAGAGCAATGCAAGGGGAAAAAACCTACAATGTTTTTGTAATTTTTAATGAGGTTAAACTGACATAACACAAAATTGGCCATCTAAACAATTCAGCAGCGTTTAGTACCTTCACAGTACTGTGTAACCATCACCTCTAGTTTCACAGTGTCTTTGGCATCTTAAAAGGAGGCCTGGTATCTACCAAACAGGGGCCCGCATCCCTTTTCCCCTTGCTGCAGCCCCGTAGCAGGCACCAATCTGCTCTCCATCCCTGAGAATGGCCCAGTCACTTCCTTTGTCCCTGAGCCACTATACCAGACACCCACAACTTCCAGGAGAGATTCATTTTGGCTTACGTTTTCAGTCCATAGTTGGCTGACTCTGAGCAGGAAGGCGAGGTGGAAGGGCCTGGGGGGAGACAGCCGCTCACATCATGGTGGTCAGGAAGCAAAGGAAGTCAGGGAGAGGTGACCACTTCTTCCTACCAACCCCAGCTCCTTGCAGCAGGTCACCTATTTGGTCCACGATTCAGTCACTTTCCAAAAGCTCTGCCTACGAGTGAATGAGGCATCAGGGAGACACCATCTAAACCCTAACAAAGGATTTGCCTGCTATGGACTTTGCGTATAAATGGAATCACTGCAGTATATACTTGCTTCTGATAGCTGTATGGTTAGGGTTTACATTTAAGCCACGGGTCCATTTTTAGTTAACTCCTGTATATGGTGTGAAGTAGGGTTCCAACTTGGTTCTCTCACCTACCAATATGCAGTCATCCCAGTACCATTTGTTGAAGAGAATATTTTCTCCCATTCTTGAGAACCAAATGACGGTTTGCTTCTAGACTCTCACTCTCTTCCACTGGTCTCTATGTCTGTTGTTATGGCAGTGACCCACAGGTTTGGTTACTTTGGTTGGAGCTTTGCAGTAAGGTTTGAGTCCTCCAACTTTACTCTTCTTCTTCAAGACTGTTTTGACTATTTGGAGTTCCCTGAAATTCTGTATGAACTGGAGGACATGCTTGCTTTTCTTTTCCTTTCTATTTCTTTTCTTTCTTTCCCTTTCTTTCTTCCTCTCTCTCTTCCTCTCTCACTCTCCCTTCCCCCCCCTCCCCTTCCCGCTCTCTCTCTCTTTCTTGGATTACAGGTATGTGCAACACCATGCCTGGCTTCATCCCTTATTTTACTGCTGATGCTATTAGTAGGCTTCCTCTCCCTTCTTTCCCAGAACTTCTAAGTAGACAGGACAGTGGGAGGGAAGCTGAGGGGACCATACTTATAGCTGAGTCCCCAGGGTTCTTAGAGGAGAACCCCCTCAATGTGGCATACTTTTCACGAGGGTCTGGAGGACAGGCCAGATGGTAATTATGCTCCCCATAAGTTCCAGGGAAGCCTACGTGTAGCCCAGGGGCAGTCCTGCTGAGGAGGCACGAAGCCCAAAACAGGAATCAAGAAGACCCGTCTGCTCTGGGCTTCACAGGAGATGACCAGCACCAGCTGTGCCAGGTGCCCCTCCAGTACACGGCAGGCTGGCAGTGAGGAAGAGGGGGACCCCTGGTCCCTCGAGCTTTCCGGTTCTCACTGTGGCAGGGCTTCATGGTCACTAGCTAAATGAGCAGGCTGCAGAGGGCAAGGTCTACCCAGTCCTGGTGGGCAGAGACAAAGGAGAGATCTTGGGAACAAAGACAGTGTGATGTGGCCCGATGTGGTGGTGAACACCTGAAGTCCCAGTGCTCTGCAGGTTTGAGGCAGGAGGATTGCAGGTTTGCCTGTGCGCGCGCGCACACACACACACACACACACACACACACACACACACACACACACACCAGAAGAGGAATGCACCAAGAACAGAATATGGAGGAATGTCTTCAGAATGTTGGTAGCTCACAAATCCTCCTGTATAGAAATCTAGTGACAGCAGATTAGAAGAGGAAGAACTGGATCCATTTTTGGATCAAGCATAAAACTTTCAAAGTTCAGAGGAAAGAGAGGAGACAAGGAGGCAAAGAAACGAGAAGTCAAAGGAAGGAGAGGAAAAGAGGCAAAGACACAACAATAAATGGGATGAAAGCAGAGAGAAAACGAAGAGAATCGACACAGGAGGCAGGGCAGGGCAGGCACGCCGGGTGGAGGCCGCTCCCTCCACCTCTGGGGTCCTGTGCAGGTCCCTTCCCCGCCCTGCTCACACACCTGGCTCAGGGGCCCCTTGAGCATTCCGGTCCCCTGGACTCAGCCTTCCTCTGGCTTGCTCACCTCTCCTCTCTTCCTGAGTGTGCACAGCGCTAGAGCACAAAGGACCACGGGGCAGAGAGGGCTAAAAGGAAGAACACTGAACTGAGGAAGAGCAGGGCTGCAGGGAGGGGGCGGGCACTGGCTGTGCCAGAGGAACCCCAGCCTCTGACCTGTTCACCCTGCAACCCGCACACCCGCACAGGAGGCCGCTTCTACTGACCACAAGCCTGGTTCCCCGTTTCTGTCTTCACCAGGGTGGGGCGGCAGGAGGGGTGCGGGGCCCGACCCAAGTCTGGCCCGTTTGCCTGTGTATGATATACAGACTTCCAAATAACACCTGGGGAATGGAACTCTCAGCCTGCTAGACGTCTGACGCACCCGGTTTGTGTTCTCTAAAATGGAAGAAAGAACTCCAGGAACAATGGAGGTTAAGAGTTGGAAGAATTTAGTGAGAAAGACAGCTTCTGTCTGAGACAGAAGGGGGCTTGGAAAGTGGGCTGCCCACAGATGCCATGTCTCAAGGGGGTTTTACAGAGCAAAGCTACGAGGTGAAGTGGGCATAACGTGAGGTGGGACAAATTACTGCCACCTAACAAGACTGTAAGTATAGCTGCTTGGGTGATATTTATCCAGTGGAAAATGACACAGTGTGCACAAGGTGGGACAAAACTATAGTCAGCCAATAAAATTATAAGTACAGTTGATTAGGTAATACTGATTAAATGGGGAAGCAAGTCACACAGCAAGCGTACATGAAAGAACAGGGATCTTCTGGGAAGGGATGGCTTAAGGTCTTGGTCCCCCACCCAGGTGACTGATGCCTGTTACAGCATCAATTATTCTCCATCCCCGGGGAAGTATGTGGGAGCGGTTGACTCTGTCTTGAAGCCTGGCCCTCCGGCCAGCTGCTATCTGCACTACCTTCTGAGGGCCCAGCCCTGTCCGACTGCCTCTAATATTTCCAACAGCTGTCTACAGGATTCTCCCTCTAAAGAGGTACCCCTAACTGCAGTTAGGGGAGAATGGGTGGTTATTTTGAGCTGAGAAGGATTAGTGTGGGGATGACCACAATCAAAGGTCCTTGTCTAGGGAACTAATGTAAGCGGCTTGAGCTAGAAGTGATGTTGTACTTTAGGGTTATGAATGCCCTTCACAAGGTCAATCTGGTGGATCCCGGTAAAAGGAGCCTAGCACCTTTGTTGTTGCTTCTATCTGCATGATCACTTGGCATTTGGCAACCTCTAGGCAAGAATGAACAGATTTTTAAAGAAATTGAAGGACGTATAACTAACTACAGCATGAGCACTAGAATGGAAAGGCACGTTGGGGAAAGAGCCATGCCTAGAAACTGTTCCTAAGGGACTGGAATAGTGACTGTAACCTGGTGGCTCTTAGAGCCCTCTGTAGATGGAAGTTATCTGTAAGTCTGATATTTTTTCATCAGTCTTTTTAGTTTTAGCTGTAAGAACATGGAGAGTTTGGGTGCTTTGAAGGACATTCGTGAAGAATTTAAAGACTCTTACCGAGCTTTTGTAGCTTTTACCAGTTTTCAGCCACACTGAACCGTAGCAGTGCTCAGCTACTGGTGGAGCTGGAAACTGCCAGAAGGGACCAGCAATTGGAGCTCGTTTTTATATTGTTTTTATACGTCTTTTGGTTATACTTTTCTGCTGGGTATTTAAG